ATAAAATGCCTCTCACTCAAAAGCTGCATCTGACCATGATTTGAGTCAAAAGCAGAAAATAATCATTATTATAGATCATCAAGAAGCAGGAATGTCTTGAGGGGTTGGAGAGTTTGTGCTTTCACCAAAAACCCCAAACACCTTTCATTTCCATGTATTTCAGTAAAATCTGGGGTTGTACAGCACATGTTAGGATTGCACAGCCATAACACCCATAAGTAAATCGCTCTGTGACATTCTTATGTGAAATGGCACAGAGGCATTAAGGTAGGATTAAGGTAAAATTAATGGATTTCACCTCATTGATTCCACCTCAATGTTATTAACCGAAAAAATAAACTGGTAAGTGAAATACATATAATAAACCCCGGTGGGAAAAGCACTGTGCACAAATTCTCGCTTACACTACTAACTTCAAAGCAGGCAGAGTGAAGTCACCAATTAATTAGCACTAAGTGGTTACAAAGGCTGTGGTTTGTGTTCGCGACTCTCTAATTGCCGTGGTACGAGGGGAAAGCCGAAGTGCCTCCCTCAGCAATAAATAACCCCTCAATCCCGCGGAGGCCCCAGTGCCGGCGGGCAGCGCGCTCCCTCTGCCGGGGAGCGCCGCTCATCCCCCGGGCACCGGGAGCCGGGAACAGCCCCCGGCAACCACCCCTGCAGGGCCCGCACAACGCGAGCCTGCAGAGCCGCCCCGCTGGGTGGCCTGTCCTCCGGCTGGCAGGAGAGGCGGTACCTTTGGTTGGTCTGTCTTCTGGGAGCCACCCCAAGATCCCCCATCCTTCGCTGGCCACAAATCTTAGATGTCAAGAAGTTTCACGTTTCCCAAACAATCCTATTTCTAGTTATCCGTGGGTTTTTTCATCCATTTTCTATATATTTATTATTATTACTTCATCCTTGTATTTGCTGTCTCGCATTTTTCTTCTTCTCTATTTTCCCTTCCTCAGCGAGTAAAACACTGACCACGAAAGTATCTGTTGCCCTAAGTATGCCAGCCTGTGGGCATTGCTCTCAGTTACATTTTATGGCGAGTTTTACTGCGAAGTTACTTTTACTTTAGCTTGGATCTCTGTATTTCCATAGAGTGACTAAAAAGCACCTGGCAGCCCCCAGTGTGCTATTTTTGATCACCTAATGATAACTTCCATAGCCACTCTAACTTTAGCAAAGGTATATTCTTTTATCAGTGAGGTATGCAATTAACAGTACACCTCATTATTTTTAGGTGGTATTTGGATTTTCACTCTAAGCATTACCTCAGTAGTCCTATGTGCCGGTGTTATTTCTCTGATAATTAAGGTGGCCCCATAAAACATTACACAAAAGCAGGGAAGGGCTGGAATCCCTCTTGCTGAAATGATGAAGCTGAGTGAGCTGATACATTGCACTGAGAGCTGGTGGCTGTCAACAATTGTCTTTCATCTACTGGCAATCCCAAATGCATGAGAGTAAATGAGTATCTAAGATGTTCAATTAAGAATAAATAAGAGAACTATTACTTTTTTAATAGGAAAAAAACCCAAAACCATAAACAAACTCCTCACAACCCAAAACTTGAAATCATTGCCCACAACTCCATCATATAAAAGTCCTGTATAGAAAGCAGAACATACAGATCCTTGCTGTGGTTTAAACACAGCCAGCAACCAAACCCCACACAGCCACTTCCTCACACCTCCACCAATGGGATCAGGGAGAGAGAATCAGAACGGTAAAAGCTGGAAAACTCATGGATTGAGATAAAGACAGTTTAAGGAAAGCAAAAGCCGTGCACACAAGCAAAGCAGAACAAGGAATTAATACGCTGCTTCCCATGGGCAGGCAGGTGTTAAGCCATCCCCAGGACAGCATAGACCCATCACATGTAATGGTTACTTGGGAAGACAAACACACTACTCCAAACATCCCCACTTCTACCTTCTTGCTCCCACTTTATATACCAAGCATGATGCCATATGGTATGGAATATCCTTTGGTTATTTTGGGTCACCTGTCCTGGCTGTGTCTCCTTCCATTTGTAGACAGAATGCACAATAGAAAACTTTTCTTATAATAAAGGAATAAAAATGTCAGATTCAATCCCATGAAACTAACCAGATAAAACTACATCCTGAAATGATGAATCAAATAAATTATAAGTATTTTATTTTACCTGTAATGCAATGTAAGAAATATCCCTTGCCTAGAGCAAGGGATGATGTTACTTCCAGTAATACAGGCAAGATAAGAAGATAGTTACTGATAAAAAAATTATACATCATCTGTGAAAATGCAGCTGAAATGACAGCAAATGCGATAATAATGACTCAGTCACATGTAAGGATGATAAAGAGGAATCATACAAGAGCAGAGCTAGGTGATTAATTATATTCACCACCAAAATCAGATGCAGGGAAACCAAGCAAGGAAAAATGTAAAATCAGAGGGCCTTGAGTTACCATGCTGATCTATGCACACATGTGAACATGTCTTCTGTTTCTCCTCTAGGCAAACAGATGCCTATAATGGGGTAGTATCAGAACATCTTAATCATCTCACTAGATGAACATCAACTTTTCATCAATAGACACCAATGATAAGTGTATCTACCCTCCTCTAAAAGTAAAATGATACTCTGTGAAACAGTATTGTTTCAGGTCTTGATTTTTCAGCAGTCGTTCAGCAAGGAAAAACAGTTTTGTAGCT